AAAGTCAACGCCGGAGACCGGCGTTGACCGCCGGTCAACGCCGGAATCCGGCGGGAAAAAAAGTTTTTGAAAAAAAAAAATTTTGTGAAAAAAAAAAAGTTTTGGGTCAAAATTGAATAATTTGTGAAAGTTGGGGTCAAATTGAAGTTAAAGTAAGTTAAGGATGAAATTGGAGCATATTAAAGTAAGAGGGGTTATTTTAGTCCTTTACATAAATCTGGACCATGTGTGGACTTATTGGTAAAGGAGAATATTGTCTGGATCTCTTTATGAATAAGTTCCCACTGATGGGCTTATTTGTAATATGCCCTTATTTTTTAGTATCGGAATAGGAATTTGTTTTCCAATTCGAAAAATAACAGATATCCAGAAATGTTAATTACAATCTGATCCTTTCAGATTTATAGTGGAGTGCATTATTGTGAAGTGAATAAAATAATTTAATTTGACTAAGTTGATCAACTTTCTTAGTCTTGCTTTATAATAGTATCATATTCTCTTTTTCTTTTTCTTTTTTTACATTATTTTGATCACTCCCACTCGACCAGCCTAGTTTGACAGATTTTGGAAGTCATTTTGTATTAATATTTTTTGTTTTTTGGTTAATTACGGCCCACCTCATACCCTGAGGTATGGTCAAATTAAAAAAAAAAAAAAAACCCCTCATGTTTCGATAATTACAACCATCCCCTCGACTATGAATCTTCTTACACGTCCGCCTTTATGTTGTCAACTTCAACATAAACTTCTAGATTACGTGGAATGTTCTCTAATTTGTACTCGTTTTGTACAAAAATGAAGTTTATGATATTTACAAGTCAACATACACATCTTATGATCATCTTGTTTCAAAATGTGAAGCTCGAATGGGGTAAAACATATATCAACTGGATAAAATTCCACATAGTCTAAAAGATTCCACTAAATTTGATACCGCAATAGTGGACGTGTAAGAAGATTCATAGTTGAGGGGATAGTTGTAATTACCCAAACAAGAGGGGTTTTTTCATAATTTGACATTAAATCAGGGGGTAGGCGGTAATTAAAATAACGATTAATAAATCATTGATTGACAAATTACAGTAACAACTTGCATTAAAATCCAGGAGCCATACATCACACACACATTAATCAAAACATAATATTATATAATATATATATATATATTTCTTATATTATATATAATTGCCAGAAAATTAAACAGAATAATTAACGAGTAATTAATTAGTAATTAACAAAGATGATCACCAGGATTAGCACGAAGAGTGCGAAAGTAGCCTCTGGGATTACTCTCGAACACACCCCTAGCCATTCTGACGTTCCTTCCGGGGGCCTTCATCATCTTCACCATTCCTCCGCCGCCGCCGCCGCCGCGGCCACGGCGGCAGCAGCAATTACAGCAGCAGCGGCAGAAGCAAACGACCACCGTCAGAACCACTGCGGCGGCGAGGTACGGCTGAGCGAGGTGGAACCAGTGGGTGATCTTGTCGGTCCTTGTTTCCGGCGGAAAGACGCCGTCGAACCAAGAAACAGCCTCGCCGGCGAAGTTTTCCAGCCAAAGGAGAGCTTCCTTCAACTTCTCCACTACGTACTTCATAACTTCCTCGATCCCCATCTATCTTGATCTGTGTGTGACTGTGTGTGTGTGTTTTTGCCTTTAAGAAAATATTAAAAGAGTATTAATAATGATTAATGAAATAATTGAATTTATAAGCCATAGGGAATGATCTCAGCCGTCGGATTATAGAAGTGGTACTGTTTAAAGTCAAGCTTTTGCTTTTACTTTTCTGTGGGGTCAATTTATAATATCATGAATCATGACCCCTTCTTTTAGGGTTCCTTCGACCCTACACCCGGTGATAAACACCGGGAGGGTCTTCTGCTGCCACGTGTTTTTTTTTTTTTTTTTCTAAAATCCCTAAAGGTAAACCCTAGCGGGGAATCTATTATAAAATACAAAAAAGAGATACGTGGCAGCAGAAGACCCACCCGGTGTTTATCACCGGGTATAGGGTCGAACAAATCCCTTCTTTTAGTATGTTCATTAATTTTAGGGTAAATTATAACCACCCCTAAGGTATGGTTAAATTATAAAAAACCCTCTTGTTTGGGTAATTACAACCACCCGTCAACCATAAATTTTCTTACATGTCCATCCTTGCGGTTTCAAATTTAGTGGAATCTTCGAGATTATACGGAATATTATCACATTTGTACCCGTTTTATCCCATTCGAACTCCACATTTTGAAAAAAGATGATCATGATATGTGTTTTTTGGCTTGTATATATCATATTTTGGTGCATCAGAAACAGTATTTTTACACAAAACGAGTACAAATTAGAGCACATTCCACGAAATCTAGATGATCATGTTGAATTTGACACCATAAGGGTGGAGATGTAAGAAAAAATTATAGTTGAGGGGTAGATGTAATTATCCAAACAAGAGGGATTTTTTCCATAGATTCACCATACCTCAGGGGATGTTTGTAATTTACCCTTAATTTTATCACAAGTTGGATTTAGATTTTTATTTCTTTAATTGAGGATTTTGAAATTAGTAACCATGTCTTGAATAAATAATTCTATTAAATAGATATTACTCGATTCGTACTCCAACATGCAATAATTTCATTTACAACTAGTTAAAGGTATCCCCTCTTTCATGATGAATATTGAAAATATAAAATTTAGAAAATACAGAAATGTTGTGCCAAAATCTCGTTGAATAAGCTTACTAACATAGAGATAAGTATCGCCACATCTTTTTTGTTATTTTTATTTTTTATAATGAAGAAATCCGCATGCAACCATATAGTATCACCATATCTTGATTCTGAACAATGTGGCTAAGTGCTCATGTCAATTGTTGCCTGAGGACTCAAATCCACCACAATCGTTATTTTCTGGTCTCGAGTTTGTACATCCAATTTATTTTCTTCGGGTGGTGGAATTTTGCATGATTGGGGGCGAACAAACGACCCGAGTTTGAGGCCTAATACTGTTTAGGCAAAAATTATGCATCTTAGTACATAATTCTTGTAATGGGAACTAATATTCTAACTTGTTTAAGCTACATGCCATAAATCATCAACATGCCAAAAAAAAAAAAAAGTAAAAGTAAAAGCCAATTTTCATCTAAAAATACAAATATTAACAGTCATTTTATTTTTGGAAAACAAATATTATAATTTGGGCTGAATTGTTGAATTGAACTGTAACAATATGACAAGGGATTGATGGGCCTAACCCCAATTTAAAGGAAAAGCCCATATATGAAGTTTATATTATTTGTCGATTTGATTTGATTTAATTTAATTGTCTGCAGCCTATAGTTAAACTGATTATGCTTATAAATATTTTAATCATCATTGTGGGTAAATTACTTCATTCTTAATATTTATATATGCACTCTCGAGACTATCTCTTATTTTCTCGAGTCTTAGAGCTAACTTGATCGTCGAAGATTCTTGTTACGGCCAAGACCCAACGACCCTAATGCGTGTTTGTTTACTTACTCATTTGAAAAATATTTGTAAAGTGTTAGTTGGAAGACAAATTGAAGTGACGTGATTTAAATTATTAGTAACCAAATGAATATATACTCAATTAAATTAAATTAAATCAAATCACGGTAGCGATTTTCTTGACTGCACTCAATTCAATCCATAAATAATTTTATAAATTATCACTACCACACCGTATGTAGCGAATTTTTGGTATACCAAACTTTTTAATATCAAAAAAATATAGTAGGGTACTAGTAGCGGATTCAGTTATACCAAAATTTTGGTAATAGTAATGATTTAAGGGGTCGCCTTCCGAAACTCACCCCTACTATTGACTAAGAAATTTATATAATATATTATAATGCTGCCATATAATAAAGATTAATTAATATTAATAGTGGTATATATTATGTCAACTTCTCCAAGTGATGCAACTTATAATCAGAGCTGGAGAAGTTTCCAAACCCTAAAAATTAACCCATCCATGCATCCATATATATATATATATATATATGGTACTCGTAACGTAATATTAATAATTAGAAATGAAGTATGCTCATGAGAGCAAACAGTACTTAGACATACATAAATATATATATATATATATATAGCTCCTAATTAAACAGTTTTAGGGATTAATTAAACCACAATTTAATGTTAATTAAGAAGTAGCAAAGCATCCAAGATTGCATGAATAGAAAGAATCAAGGGTGAGATCAAGCTGATCATTCCTTCTACCCTCCATTGCTTCTCCTTCATACTCATCACCCCTGCATGCATATATTACATTTATATGAAATGTTACGTGTCTGTCGATTTTTCTAATTTACGAGCTTCGTGTTCTACTTTGATTTGATTGGACAAGATATATGCATATATTATGTCATGTACTTACCCGATGTTTAAGCAAGGAAACTGAGGTGTCATCAAGAATTGAAACGGAGGCGGCATTACTGGTGGTGCACTAGGGCCGCCGCGGTTATGGTGATCCGGCCACTGTGGCGGCGGTGGCTGTGCCGTCACTTCCTGCTCCTTATCTTTGATCTGCATTAAAAAAATAGTGACAAAATATTTTTAATTGAATAAATTAAAAAGAGATGATAAAATGAGATTAAGGTAGCAATATATATGCCATATGTGAGGGGCAAAAGAGTAAATAATTAGATTTAGAATTATATTGTTATTCAACCTGCTTTGTCAGCATGCAGTTTTGCTCTTGTATTGCCTTTTCCTGCCAAAAATCAAAACCAAATTAATTAATTATATATTTATAGAAAATACTAATATATAAGTAATAACCAATAACAAAAGATTAATTACTTATGTGTACAATGCTAGAAGAAGAAGTCAAAATAAAAACAAAGAGAATTAGTTAATTAGGGAAAACCCTAGATCGATTATATATATACTCATTTGTGTTCTGTATCGTTTTCAATATTTTCGGCTATTTCTATGAGATATATATATATATATATATATATATATATATATATATATATATATATATATATATATATATATATATATATATATATGTACAAAGATATATATTTTTCTTGGTGAGGGGCATGCCTAAATATAATATTATTCTATTCTCGAGCGAGAGATGGCGCGTTTCACTCGACATGAGATATATATATCTCGATATATATATATATATATATATATATATATATATATATATATATATATATATATATATATATATATATATATATATATATATATATATATATATATATATATATATATATATAACATGATTATATAAATAATTATAAAACGACTGATATTGTAAACTCAGTTGAGGAAGCCCGAACAGGTACAAATATTGAAGCGAATCCGAGACGTGTTGCAACGCTTTCGGTACACACACCATATTCGGAAGATCGCTTAAGATGACAGTTTTAAGGCTGTTATTCAGGTTTTTAATCTCCTGTGGCAGCTCTACAACTTCCGGGCATCCATATATTCCGAGTTTCTCCAGAGCAGTGAAATGAACGAACCAAACTCGAGGCAGTGAATTGCAATTAACTATATACAAATTTGCAAGAGATTTCAGTGCTCTTAGCCCTTGTTCTGGCAGAGAGAGCTCGTCCGCATTGCAAATATTCAGTATCTTGAGATTGGTCAGGCTTCGCAGTGTCTCGGTTGTAACAGCGCATTTCGTCTCGACACTAGTACTCTCAAAGTACACGTCGAGCTTGGTAAGATTTTCCAGGTTCGACAATAAAGCCAGATTTGAGCTAGTGCATTTCAATTTCTTCAGGTTTTTGAGAGATGACGACACTACTTTTAACGAAGAGCAATCTTCAATGCGTAGCTCCTACAGATTTGAGAATGCTTCGACTGATTTATTCGTCACTTGTTCTTTTAAAAACCCTTTGAGATTCGGTAGGGACCATAGATACAGTGTTTTCAGAGAAGGGAACTGTCGTACGCTTATTAATGGATCCTCCATAATGTACTCCACCTCCTCCACAGCTATTACCCACAAGTATTTAAGATGTGGTAACTCTCCCAGCTGTGGAAGATGCAAAAAGTTCTTACAGCTTGATATATGAACATCGACTAGTTTCTCCAGAGTCGAATTCGACATCCAATCTGGAAAGAACCTACCGTTGAATTAATATTTTTACCATTTTTGTAATATATTAATTGAAAACATAATCAAGATAGAGTTATTTCATTTTTGACTTTCTAGCCAAATAATAAATAAACTTTTTTTTTAACAAAATAGAATGTAATTTCATTTTCCATTTCTTTAATAAAAATAATTCGTTACAAGATAGAATGAATGTTATTTCATTTTAGGTTTTGTGTGAATATATTAATTCAAAATAATCAAAA